TATCAATATATGAATAGGGCAAGTAGGTAGGGTATGAGGTATATATTTCTGTCAAACTTTTATCCTGCATCTATTTATTATTATATCTTTTGCACAAAGACTTGCACACTATTCAAGTCTTTGCAGTGCACTACCGAGAGAGAATATGTGAAGATTCCATCAGAGTATTCTACTCAGGCCGGTTTAAACATTATGCAGGTATGTAAAGCGATGCAACATAAAGCACTTTTATATATTATATTTTAAATTTATGTTTAACATCACAAAGTAAGTTTTGGCAGTCAGAAATTTATCATGAAACACACATAAATTCTCTTAATATAACATTTCAACAGTAGAAGTTGAACGTAAGTTATTAATTTTAGAGTACGATGTAGATATATCTATAAACTTTAAAAAGAAAATACACACATAAGTTCACATAATTTGTAGAAAAATATATAGTTGAGATTGCAAGATCCTTGAATTGATTTGAATAGGAAATAAGAAATATAAATCCCTGGAATTGCAGCATGAAGGTTAATTATTGGCTTGGTTTCGTTGTAGGAATGCGCATGACAGGGGGTTGGATATGCCCAACATTATGGCCAATGTTGATGTTCGCCCTTGATATGTCTTGAACGCCTCCCTCCCCGTAACTCCGCCTCCTGTATGTCTGCATAAAATATTCAAATACTACTATGCTAATTAACAAATTTGTTAAATTTTCAACTTTCTGGGTATTTTATAGAATATTTAATTAAATTTTTCATTTCATTTCTTTCCAATTTCCACGAAAATAATTTTTATTTATTTTTATTTTTTAAAATTATCTTGCTCCTATTGATTTAGTGTCTTAGATTCATCATTGCATAGTAAAGAGATGCTCCAGGATTTGAACCCACAAACAGGTACATACGGAGACCACAACCTTGCTGCTGTGCCTAAGAACTCTTAAGTGCTTATAGTTTGTGTCGTGCTCTTAATAACTTATGTGCATTCATTAATATCAGAAAACAAAACAAAGGAATAAGTTTGTGTTCCAATTATCTTCAACCTTAAGCTGGATCATGTTGGCTTGTTACCAACTGTGAACCCGAATTAAAACTTAGGTAATTTTAAAGATTTTTTTGTAACAGAAAACAACAAATCAAGCAATGCAGAGACATACGTAAAGGTTCCGTTATCAAATGTAAATACATGAAAAAATGATCCAAACATGTTAAACAATCCAATTAAAACATATTCAGATCAATATATACAACATAATCTAAAAGGTAATGAAAGCTAACCTTCTGCCATTGCTATTGGATTATTTATCAATAATTTGGTTTCTTAATTAGTTTTGTTTGAATATATTTCGAGTGCTTTTAATCCAACAATTGTAAGCCTTTACAACATATATATGACACGTAATTGAAATCATTGCACCATAACTTGTACTCTCTTGGAGTTTCCAAACCTCACTCTGAATACTCGATGATGTTATATATTAAAGGGAAGAACATCCAGTGACTAAATAAAAACAATATTATTCTTTTAGAGTTTTGATTATCACAAAACTCAATAGATGGACAACTTAACTATTTTTCAAAATGTATGTATATAACGATTTAAATGAACATAAGTTGAAATCTAGACAAATAATGGACCAAATTGAAAAACAACCTCTCATGAAAATTAGGAAGCATTTCAAATTAAAATGTTCCCAAAATTGACGTTTGCTCCTATTTTTAAGTAACCAAGTCATATCTTGAAACTTATTAGCTAATTATAACTTGGTAACTAAATTATTCTCTACAAACACTTTCTAAATCAATCTCTACATTGGTCTTTATTATTATTATTATTATTATTTTTAATCGTGGTGATCAATTATCCAAATAAACGGCCCTTTTGTACGAATTTTCTAAGATTTACAGGGCATTTATTTTCCTTTTATTTAAGAATGATTAAAAAATAAATAATTAAAAGATTATATATTTAATTATTTTATCTCTAATTGATATGAAATTTAAATTTCTTTAGTTGATATAAGACTTTAATTTTTTTCTAATAAATAATTATTATTAATAATAAATTTTGATGTATTATAAATATATTTTTTGTGACTATTATATATTAGTTATTAATATTTTTATTAGATAATAAAATTTATACTTATTATAAAGAGAATACATTTTAATAACTACCTTTTTTGAACTTCACTTTTTAGTGGACTTTTATACTCTTGAATGTAAAAAAGATAAAAATTTCTTATATCTTCTATAATTTTTAATATTTATCTATGTATAATTATTAGAGGCACGAAGTGCCTCAACCCCTCTAGTATAGATAACTAGTTTATTATTATTGAATAATTGTTGTTAATAATAAATTTTGTTGTAGTGTTTAACATTTTTCAATTTTAGCATTATACTCTCTCCGTTTTTTTTCATAGTCGTTTAAGGTTTTGCACGAGATTTAAGGAAATCATTGATATTTTAGTTTTCAAAAATATTTATTACTTACTTTCCTATTTTACCCTTTATTTTTTTTTTTTGTATTTTTGAGACTGTTGAAATGCAATCTATATTAATTATTAATGCATTGATTACACGTGAACTGTAACCTACTGTATTTAATTATACCTGTCCATGAATTAATGGTTATAGTATTTTATTGTCCCTTTATTTATTTATTTTTTTATAGTATTTTGTTGGGAACATATTGCTCTTATAAATGCACATTAACTTTTATGGGTAGTTGGAGAAAAAATAGATAAATATTAAAAATAAATACACATTGTTCAGTAAATATGTATTAATTATCAAGGATAAAAATGAAGAAAAAAATTAATAAGTCATTAATTTTAATAAAATAATAATGAAAAAAATAATAAATCCTGACAAAACGACTATAAAAGAAAACAGAAGAGGATATTTTGTGACGCAAAACTTGAATGGAGACAGTGGGCTCTAGAGTTAAAAATCGAGATTACTTCAACGTAACATCGATACTCGTGTACATCAGGTTTCCCTTGATTAATCCTGTTTCTTCCTTCGAAAAAGTCTCATTATTAAACTGAAAAAATCGAGAAAACTAAGGTCGTTCTGTTCTGGATTGATAGTGCCACTTCGTATATGTGCGCCTGAGAAAATTTGTTGGCCACGACCCTGCAAGTTAAATGAGTCCATCGTCCCACACGAGTTACTGCTACACTCTGCGCCACTTGTGATATTCGCATTGCTGAAGTCTTGCTTGTCTTCTGGCCCTTTCCCCTTGTGGTTGAACGAGTTCTTTGTACCATTCATTTGCCACCTAACATAGTGATCAATTCATGAAATTAACTAATGTACAAAAAAAATGATAGACTAAAATCACATACTGTAATAATTTGTCAAAACAATATATTTTTCATGTCGACATGACTCAAATTCTACTCCTCGTTGAAAGTAACAAACTATATATCTTTCAAATGTGTGCGTGTGTGTAAGTACCTTCCAATATAGTAACATCCAGGGTTTTAAATTGCGGACCGCATCCCGCATTGCGGCCGCAATATTGCGGTTGCGGCCTTGTCCGCAACGGCATCGGACCGCAATTGCGGTGAGACCGTAAATCACGGTTTTTTCCGTAGCGTAACGGTGTTGCGTCCGCAACACCTCCGTTTTGAATCCGCAAACGACAAGGGGAACAGGAAATCGTTTTGAATCCGCAAACGACAAGGTAGAACAGGGAATCGTTTTTAAAAAAGTTAACTTTTTTGGGAATCTTTTCAGAACGCAACAGAGAACACAGAAATTATTCACGAGATCGTTGAAACTTTAACTTAAAAGGTGAAAAACAAACATAGATTCATAGAACTTACACTTTCATTCGGAACTCCCTTCGTATCTCTACCAAGAAGCGGAAGCTTGGTTGTTAATGGTAAGTTTTCTGACCCCTGTTTGTCTTTGTTGTTGTTCGTTGATAGCCTTGCCATTGTTGTTGGCTTGATTTTTGCTTGATTGTTGCTTGATTTTGGCTTCATTTTCGCTTGATTTTGGCTTCATTTTCGCTTGGTTTTTGCTTGAAATGTTGCGGTGAGGTTTGGGGGCTTAATAGCAGCGACGACGCATTCCAAAAGAAAACCTAAATTTCTTTTAATATTATTTTTTATTTAGTGAGTTGGACAATGGAGACCCAAATTGAATGTTGGACACTTGGACTTGGACTCTATCAGCGTTTGTGTTTAGGAATTAACTGAGCATGAAAAAAAGTAGAATGCACGTGGGCTAGCTTTGGGCTTCTATTTGTGGGCTTTAATTAAAATTTGAAATGGCCTTTAGTCATCAAATTAGAATGGACGTGGGCTAGCTTTGGGCTTGTGTTTGTGGCCTTTAATTAAAATTTTAAATGGCCATTAGTCATCAATTAATTTAGTTTTTTTTGTTAACTGAAGCTATTTAATTTCATTAAAAAGCATAATAACTGTAAACTAAGTACACATGCAGCTGTTTTATCACATGGATGAAAATCTTTCTTTTATTATTATTTAGCCAGTAAAATGCAAAAAAAAAATGCTTTTGTTAGTAAATGTTTTCTACCATGATAATCACCACCGAATATACAAATATTGTAATAGTAAATTAAAAAATATAATTATAATTATTATCTAATTTAAACGAAATGAAATTAGCATATCTTTAAAACTAAACTCAACTTATTTTATTTTTACAGAAAATAATGTAATTTTGTTAGTCAATTAGTCTTAAGTTTTTAAATTTGATAAAAGAAAATATTTTTTTAATTTTTTAAAATAGAAGGGTATAATGGTTAAAAAATGCAAAGACCAAAGTGGTTACCGAAAAGGGTATCCCTTTTATATATTAGTATAGATGTGAATGATTATTAGAATATTTTGCAATATTTTTATATATAATATGCTTAGCCTAATTATATGTATATCAATATTAGGTTGTTTATATTTATTTTTATTATTATGTTAATTTATTAGTCATTGTTCTGAAGTTTGAAATATAATTTAATTAGATTGATATTATATTTTCAAAATTTTATACAGATATAATACATAATGACATCAAATGAAGAATTTCCTATAGGAAGACTAGAAGGTGCTCCAAGCGACGATATTGGATGGCATTTTGGAGTACCTATAGCAGGAAATCGCAACAATGTCCAATGTAAACTTTGTCAAAAGATAATAAGGGGTGGCATTACAAGATTGAAGCAACACATAGCACATGATAAAGGTCAAGTAGCAGGTTGTCCAAGAGTCACGTCATTTGTTAGGGAGAATATGATGAAACTTCTCAAAGATAGAAAAGAAAAGAAAATTGACTTTAGAAAAAGAAAAGAAGAATTTGAATCTCGATTAAGAGAAGATGATGAAGAAGATAGTGACGAGGAGATGATGATAGCTTCGCAACAAAGCATTAGATCACAACGTGAGTGGGAAGATAGACAACGATTCAGACAACAAACAGAGGGATCTAATAACATCTATGAATCAGGTGGAAGCTCTCGCATGAGTGTTAGTCAAACTTCAAGAAAAGAAGATGCTACTTTTGCTTTAAGATCTACAAATGTGGATCTTGTGAGAAGTAAAAGTATGAAACAACCAAAAATAGGTGGGGGTCTTATGAAAACATTAAAGAAAAAGCTCGGAGAAGCGGTAAGCAAGTTTATAATTTATGAACGCTTACCTATGAATTTATCAAATTCTCCATGGTTGCATAATTTGATTATTGCAGCAGCTGAGGTAGGTCCATCAGTTAAATGCCCTACACCTTATGAAGTTTCTGATGTGTATTTAGAAGCTGAATATAAAAGCATGCAAGAATGGATAAGCAAGTTGAAAACTACATGGAAGGAAAAAGGAGTAACAATAATGTGTGATGGTTGGACAGATAGTGTAAATCATACACATATTATGAATTTTCTAGTGTATTGTAGCAAGGGAACGATTTTCTTGAAATCTATTGATGCTTCTAATGTTGACAGTAGAAATACTGATTACTACTTTCAGTTATTGGATAAGGTTGTGGATGAAGTGGGAGAAGAATTTGTAATTCAAGTTGTTACAGATAATGAAAAAGCACTTAAAGCAGCTGGTCAAAAGTTGATGGAAAAGAGACAACATTTATATTGGACTGCATGTGCAGCACATTGTTTGGATCTTTGTTTGGAGGATATAGGGAAAAAAAAGAATGTGCAAAAGTTATTAAGTGATGCAAAAGTAGTAACAACTTTTATCTACAATCACACATGGATTGTAAATCTCATGAAAAAATACACTGGAGGTAGAGAAATTGTTCGTCCTGGTGTTACCCGATTTGCAACACAATTCTTACAACTTCAAGCAATTGTGCAACAAAAGCAAGGCTTGAGGAACATGTTCAACTCAGAAGAATTTAGACGATCTAAATTTGGAAGAGACAAAAATGGATTGGCATTTGAAGCAAGACAAATTGTTATTGGCAATGATTTTTGGAGCAAGGCTAATGATATATTGAAGGTATTTGAGCCTTTAGTAAAAGTTTTGAGGCTAGTTGATGGTGATGAGAAACCAACAATGGGTTTTATATATGAGGCAATTGATCGAGCAAAACAATCAATTCAAAAAAGTTCTCGTTATTATTCTCAATACCAAGAAATAATTGACAAGCGTTGGAGATTCATGCATTCTGATCTTCATTCTGCTGGTATGTCATTGTAATTTTACGTTTATTATATAAAGCAATACATTAATACATACAATTATAGATACATATTGATTAACTATTTATTTTTTAGGGTATTTTCTTAATCCACAATTTCAATATGGAGTTGAACATGGATCTGATGTGTATCGAGAGACATTTGAAGGAACCAAAAAGGTCATTATGAAATTGGAGAGAAACATGGATGATCAAATTAAAGCTTTAAACTCGGTTAGTAATAAATAATTATATTTTGTTTTTTAAAATTATTGTTATATAACTATGTATTGATATATTATACAATATAATGTTATATAGTTGGTATTGTTTAAAGACATGGGTGAAACATTTGCTACACCTCAAGCTCAAAGAGCTTGGTCTAGAATGAATCCAGGTAAATATAGTTTCTTCCTTTCTCAATAAATAAATGTATTTTTTATAAATAATAACTTTTTTTTGCTTGATCTCTTAAAAAGCTGAATGGTGGTTGATGTTTGGTTCATGCTCTCCTGAACTTCAACGTGTGGCTATTAAAGTTTTAAGTCAAACAACTTCAGCCACAAATTGTGAAAGAAACTGGAGTACGTTTAGCTATATTCATACAAAGACAAGGAATAGGCTTAAGTACAAAAAGTTGCAAAAACTTGTCTTTACACATTACAACATGAAATTGAAAATGAGGCATCAAATGAGAAAAAGTCAAGAAGAAATTGAATCAAGTTTCAATCCAATTAATCTTGATTATATATTTCGAGAAGATGATCCATTATCTGCATGGATAGAAGAAAGAGAAAATCCACTTTTAGATGGAGTTCAAAATTCAGAGTGGTTGCCTCGAATTGATACAGATGATGAAGATGTGGAAGGTGGAGATAGTGATAATGATGGGGGTGACTTAAGCCCACCAAGTAATAATAGTGGTGATGATGGTGTTGATATTGAAGGTGAAGAAAATGATGGTGAGGATGATGAGGATGAACAAAGACAAAATGATCCATATCAAGAGACTCCATATAATAGGCGTGACACAAATCTGGTAATTGATTTCACTACTTCTATGCCAGGTATGATTCCTCCTGATCGTTCATTTTCAGGTGATAATAGAAGAGACAATTCACAAGTTAGAAGAGGAAAAAATAAACAAAATGTGTCATGTCAAGATTCTTCATCTTCTCATATTGAACAAAGTTTTAGTGAATTCAATATTGATGATTCTTCAGAAAGTAGTCAAGGGTACTATCCACCATTAGTTTATCAACATCCTTATTTTAATGCATACAATCAATATGGAAGTGACCAAGTTCCCTCATACCACCAACCATCAATGAATTATAATGATCTTTATTATCAACAACAAAGTGGTGGATTTTTTGATTATGTTTTTGGACAAGGAGCCACACAAGGGGATAGCCAAAGCGAGAGTGGAGGCTATGATCATCCTCGTCACTCTACTATGTGGTAATAAGTATCATGTGAGTTATAAATTTATTATATTTATAATTTTTCACTTGTGAAAAAAAGTTCATGCTTTTTATAGTTTTACAATATTAATAAAAATTTCATATTTTTTCCTTGTAGTGAAATGCATCTCTGAAGGGTGGCATTGCTTCTCAGATAATTGATGACAATGAAACTTGTGGGCAATCATATTACTTTATGTCAAGCCATGTCCTTTTTTCTTTCTTGTCTATTTAAAACTTGTCTAAATGTGTGTACCTTTAAGTTTTTTATTTGTGTCAATGAGACAATTTGCTTTTGAGATATTATGACAAATATTATGTAAGAATTAATCTAACCACTATTGTGTTTCTCTTACTTTTAAATTAATTTTAAAATAAATTAAATTATTCATTAAAATAATAGAATGTTTTAAAAAAGGAATAAAAATGTATAAATTTTTAAAAATAAAACATATATCAATAATTACAATTTTTTTATATTTAGTGCAAATAATTAATAATTTCACACCGCAACAGCCGCAATCCGCATCGCAATACTCGCAATACCCGCAACCGCAGTAACTGCAACCGCGACCGCAACCGCGACCGCAACCGCAATTTAAAACCATGGTAACATCCACAACCGAAAATGATCAGAAGCAGCAATATAGTGATGAGCAATTCATATGACTCCTCTGCGATAAGCAATTCATAAGACTCCTTTGCCATAGTGTGTGTAACGTTGGGGCTTGAAGGCGTGAAGGGGAATTGAAAAATGAAACAAAAACAATGAAGCTAACCCCTTTTTAACATCCATGGTTCCGAGTAGACGTATACAAACGATGTTGCTAGGAAGACCGCAAGTACTTTCCTGGCCATTGAGACTTCTCTTTCAACCAGCATGGAAATGGAATAAAAAATATAAATGATGATAAAGTTAATTATCTATTTCCATGGAGACCCACGCGGTGTTTCCATGCAGTTTCAGGGAAAAAAAGCAAAAGCCATGCGCAATGGGCACGCACGTTACGGTTGAAGCAAAGCAATTAGAACAGTCGGCCATTTCGTTATCAAAATGAATATTCTATTAGATTTCGAGAAAAGTGTTATGAAAATTTGTCATTTTATCCACCCCTTAGCCGTCAATATTATATTCTACACTTAGGGTTAGGTAGCATGAATGATTATGTGGTGCATAACGTTTTCACTAATGACTTGTCAGTTGTATATATTATATATATACATGTGCAATAACATCAACAAGTGTGCATATGAAGAGCATGTTATTCCATCATAGTGGTTCTCACTACACTTTTATTGGAGCACTTTGTAGGTACAACGTTTCCTGCAAATTTTTCATAAAAATTCAAAAAAAAAAGTCGCATGTAATAAGAGAAATTCTAGTAGTGAATTGTGCGTGTGTGTAAGTACCTTCCGATATAGTAACATCCACAACCGAAAATGATCAGAAGCAGCAATATAGTGATGAGCAATTCATATGACTCCTCTGTGATAAGCAATTCATAAGAGTCCTTTGCCATAGTGTGTGTAACGTTGGGGCTTGAAGGCGTGAAGGGGAATTGAAAAATGAAACAAAAACAATGAAGCTAACCCCTTTTTAACATCCATGGTTCCGAGTAGACGTATACAAACGATGTTGCTAGGAAGACCGCAAGTACTTTCCTGGAAATGGAATAAAAAATATAAATGATGATAAAGTTAATTATCTCTTTCCATGGGGACCCACGCGGTGTTTCCATGCAGTTTCAGGGAAAAAAGCAAAAGCCATGCGCAATGAGCACGCACGGCCGGTTGAAGCTAGCAAAGCAATTAGAACACTCCATTTCGTTATCAGTACTGCAATGATTATTCTATTAGACTTCGAGTAAAGTGTTATGAAAATTTGTCATTTTATCCACCCTTAGCAGTCAATATTCTACACTTAGGGTTAGGTAGCATGAATGATTACGTGGTGCATAACTTTTTAACTAATGACTTATCAGTTGTATATGTTATATACTATATACATGTGCGATAACGACAAGTGTGCATATGAAAAGAATATTATTCCATCATCATGGTTCTCACTATATTTTTATTGGAGCACTTGGTAGAAAAGACAAAGGTGGAAAGATAAAGGTTTAAAGGCCAAATGAACAATAATTGTAAAGTATGTTTACCAAAGACCATGAGTGTGGAATTGGCTTTTTTTGGTTTCATCTCTGCGACTCAATTCAAATAGCTTTGTTTTTCAAGGAAGTTTCGAGTGTATGGGGGGATATGAGACTGAGCAAGTTTCCACTGAAAGGCAAGAGCCCAGTTGTTGGATCTCCCAAATGAAACCTTTCGCCTAGTCAAATTAATAATAATCTACTTTAAACTGGAGAAAATTCATCTAATAAGGATGCACTAGCTAGGATCTTTTAATATATAATAAGTTAATTTTATGCTAATGCACTCTCAACCCATCAAATTGTGAGTGGGGAAACTAGGTGAGATTATTTAGGTTTAATTTTACACAATAATCGATGGGTAATTGAACAATTGGTCTCACCTAATGAAATGATACGATAGCTTTTCGAACTCTGGTAAATTGAGATACAAGGGTCAATATATATTTAGGTGGTATCCGTATGATGTTGAATGAATCTGATTAATTAAAATGACGATGATTGACAAGTATGAGCAGTATATTGTTTACAGGGATGGGATGTGGCACGTATAGTATGCTAAATGTTAGTGAACCAGAGGTGTATTAATGCTTGACCCACAAGATATTCCTGCAGGAAGATAGTGTGAGTTGTGAACTTGTGACAAGTATCAAGTATGGAGAGGCATGCTGTTTACAGAACTTGTTATTGTCATGTAAGTGATTCCACGTGGGAGAGAAAATGAAATTAATAAAAAAAAAACCTTGACTTATTAACATAAAAATTGATTTAACTGCTACAATAATGATTCCACGTCAGTTCAAAAATGTAAGAACCATCACTACTAGAAGTATATTATTTTTCTGCAGATTTTCCTATAAACAAAAATTTGCAGGAAATATTTGCAGATTTTCCAACAAATAAAAATTTGAAGAAAATTTTTAGAGATGTTTCTGCAAAATAAAATTCGTAAGAAATTCTTGCAATTTCTTTTGTAAAAATAAATTAACAATTTTTTTTTACAAATTATGTTAAAACTTTATTTAATATAAAAATTAATTTTTTGCAAAAAATAAATTCCAGAAATCGTAGGAAACTTTTTTCATCATGAAAACTATTCTAGGAGTATAATTCACACGTAATATTTTAATAACTTGCAGGAAAATTCACACGTAAAGTTACTATTTTCTTGTAAATTTTAATTCGCAGGAAAAATTAATTTTTTTTTCAAATTATTAGTTAAAAAAAGTATTTTTCTTAGTAAACTATTATTTACTAAATCATTTATAAGTATCTCATTATAAAAAAAATTTAATTTAAAAATGAAATACATAAATTTTATAGATATGTAATAAGTTAATAATACTAAGTTTTAATTTAATAATAAAATTCAAAATAAAATTGTCTAATGAAAATTACTTGCAAATTTTTTTGTGAGTTTAAATCTACAAGAAAGTCTATAAGTAATCCTTTATAAAATAAATATTAATAATAATAGGAAATGAATAAAATTAAAATATTTGATATAAAATTATTAAAATTTATTAAATTAAATGTATTATAAAATAATTATGTAATAATAAGTTAAATTAATTAATTCTTGTATTTAAAAAATTAA